TAAAAAAACGCACTTTTACTTTTTATCTTTTGAAAAATAAACGTGATTGGCAGCTTCTTTTAATTTCATTTTTATTCTGGGATAATGATTTCATTTTCCTTTTGTTCCTGGGAACTATGTTATGGATTTCGCTTTTACCACACATGAAAAGTATAATCCCGTACTTTTTTCGACACGTTTTGTAGTTGATTAATAGTTAATTGTGGAAGCGGCGAGTGCTAGTTAAATCTTCCGAAGCAATTTGGAGCCGCATTAATTAATTTGTGTAAGCAAGATTTTTTTTTCCTTCCCAAATTTGCATAAAATACATAATGCCATTTATTTTATAATCAATTGTATGAGATTGATGAAAAAGAGAGCCACACAGTGTAGATTGAAAAGTCTATTATGTTAGGCAGATCTGAAGTAATTAGGAGCACCGTCAATGCAAAGGCCTTGAGGAACATTAATTAGTTTCCGCACTTGGATCGTGTGAAATAAATTTCCTAGAACAGAAATATTTTTTTCCTCATCGTTATTTATTATAGTAATTTAAAGAAAGAATGACGGCTAGAACGCAAATATACATATTTAAAAGTTAAAAATATGGAGAAAACAGGCAAAATATCAAAGATTAATGAAAAGAGAAGAAGAAAAATTATTATTAAAATAAAATATTAAATTTTAAAAAATATATATTGCAAAAGCCAGAAAACAAAAAAATTAAAAGATATAATATCTTCATCAGCTCACACAATTACATCCGCAAAAAGGAATGCTTTCTAATATTGTATTATGGTCGAAATCATGGTCGAATGTTCACAACAGTTGGAAGGAAGAAATATTTTTATTAAGCTTCACATCGTGTATTCAGATAACTTTCTAGCATTGAACTAAAACTAAACTCAGTGGCGCGACAGCCCATAGAGGGTCAAGGCCTACGGGGCCCATCTCAGTTTTCTTGACCTCGGGCTCTGGCGTGCTGGGGCAGATGTTCCGGTTAGGTGGTCAGCCGAACGCAAAACCCCCAGTGTTTAGTTCCCAAGCATGCTTGGTACTCATTTATCGACCCACTGAAGGGATGAAAGGCCGAGTCAACCTTGACCGGCCCGAGGATCGAACCCAGAACCTGTGGCACGGGAGAGCGTAGCGCTACCTCTCAACCACCGGGCGTCCTTTCTAGCATTGGCGGAGCTCAATTAGCGCTCCGAAATCTGTGTACTTTAGTTTTTATCCTAGGGAAAGTAGCGTGTGTATTTCCCTCTATTGTATTAGATCTTAGGGAAAAAGGGAAACATTAATAATTATAATTGGTTTATTAAATAGGTCGCGTGATTCAAACAGAGAGCATAGGAAAAAATGTTTTACTTTAATAAATGCATACTTGATCCAAAGATAGATTAATAGACAGGATGTGAATTTTAAGGTGGTGTCTTATAGATCTCGTCAAAAAGTTTCTTCTCTACCTGAATGATTAATGGAGTAGGAGGAGGATCTGTATTGAAAAAGCACACCTGCTCACGGAAGTCATTACTCGCCAAATCTTTATGACGTCAAAGACTTTTAAAGTGTGAGAAAGAGTGTTTAGTTTTGAATAATAAATTAAGAAAAGGATTTACACAAAAGGAATAACCTAAAAAGATTCATATATTTTAAGAATTAGGTTCTGATAAAATAATAAAAGTTAAAATAATAAAAATATAATGTAACCGATAAAACAACCCAAAAATTTTAATTCTTTAAAAGAATTAATTTTAACGTATTTTTTTTCATTCCTTGTTCGGTGATTTTAAATTAAAATTTGTTAGTCAATGTTAATAGAATAAGAAAATATTTTTGTTATTAATAAAAAATTGTTATTTAAAAATTTCATTACATTATTCAATTTTATTAAATTTTTATGCTTTTATGTTATTTGTAGAATTTAATATTTTTTCATTGTCTCTAACTTCGATAAATATTAAAAACTAAATATATTTTCTCAATTGATATATCTAATTTTTGCGTATCTTTCTGGAATTTATTTCTCTGGAGTGGTTAGTGTGCCTGACTGTGAAGCCCATGGCTGCGGGTTTGAATCCCGCTCTGGACATGGAAGTTTCTCTCTCTCTCTCTCTGTTGTCTTCTGATGTGTGAATGTATGGATGTGGCTCACCGTATGAACGGGTATTTCCGGCAGTGTGGGGTGGGTAATGTTGCTCGCCTCCGTGACTTTGGTTCACAGGTGCCCACTGGGTAACGATAAATGAGCAATACTTCCGGCATCTTCTAAGGCGAAGAAATAAATTATTATTTTTCTTATTTATTGCAAACAAAATAATTTTATATTTTTAAATACACTTGCTGTTGTTGTTGTTACTTTACGTCGCACTAGAGCTGCACAATGGGCTATTGGCGACGGTCTGGGAAACATCCCGGAGGATGATCCGAAGACATGCCATCACAATTTTGATCCTCTGCGGAGGGGA